GGGCGGGGCTAGCACGCGGGGCAGCCCCAGGGGCCGAGCAGCAGCAAAGTTCATCAGAGGGTAGATACCGTTTCTGGAGACACAGCGGGGATGACTGGGGGCTCGGGCCTGGCAGCCGCCTGCCCACCGCCTCACGCCAGCTCTCACCTGACGTCCTCTAGGAATTTGTCCAGCTCCATGCAGGAGACCTCCGAGTACCTGGCACGGGCGTGAGAAGCACATGAGGGCGGCTGGCCAGCCCGCCTGGCCCGGGGGCAGGACGGAGTGGGGCCAGCCAGATGGAGAAGCGAGGCCCGGGGCAGCGGCCGCTCACCGCCACTGCAGGGGGGGCCGGGGGGGCCGGCAGATCTCGGCCAGCACCGCGTGCATGTCCATGGACTTGGTCTTCTCCTCCACCACGTTCTCAGGCATGAGGTCTGCAGGCCAGAGGAGCACTCAGGGGACAGAGCTGGAGCCAGGGTCCTGCAGGCGCCCTTCCTCATCCCCACCCCGGGCCCTGACCCCCCCTCCCCCCCTCCCGCCCTTACACTGGTGCTGGATGAAGCAGTGAGCTGCCAGGAGCTTCAGCGAGTGCACCTCGAAGAGCACGCGGTGGAAGAGGAGGTTGTGGGCAGAGGGCCTGTGGGCGGGGTCCCGCGCCAGGCAGGAGAGGATGAACTCCTGGGGGCAAGGAGAGAAGAGGCCGCGGTGCATGGAGTTTCTCTGCGCTGGCCCCACTGTGTGAGGAGAGGAGGCCCTGAGGCCCCCAGACCGCAAGGGTCCCCCCCTGGAGCCTTCATGATGTGCACAGGGGGAGGCATCCTGCTAGCCGCCAGGACCTGATCCTACAAACAGGACAGCCAGGCCCTGGGTCCCTAACTTCCCTCAAACTCACAAAAACCTGGTGCGGGGTGAGGGTGGGGGGCCGGGAGCACTGTAGTCGGATTCACAGAGGAAGTCTGCAGGAGGGCGGGCAGATCAGCCCGCCACGCCCCCCCAAGCAGGTCACATGGCCTGGCATGAACCCACCCACCTTGGCCAGCCCGCCTGCTGGAGATGACCTTGAAAGGTCCCTGCCCCCCATCCATGCCTTGCACTGCCTGCCTCTCTTGTCTGTCTTGGCTCCACCTCCCCGCCAGCCCCATCCAGGCCCCATCACTTCCCTCTCCCATCCCCAGAGGCCGTGTGCTTAAGCCAGATAGATTCCCAGACTCCGGCCAGAGGCTGTGGGTGAACCTCCATCCCAGGCTCCGTCTGCCCACCCAGCTGCCCACACAAAGGCTTAAAGGCAACAACGTGGAGCCAGGCAGACCAGGTGCAAACACTGGGTCCACTGCTCACTCGGGAGCCTCTCTGAGCCCCAGTTTCTTTATCTATAAAATGGGCATCACAACAGTACTCACCCACTATGTCTCTGGTTTCCCTGACCTAATGATGTGCCCTTAAAAAAAAAAAAAGAGGCCAGCCGGGCCATAGTGGCTCAGTGGTTGAGCCGTGGACCTATGAACCAGGAGGTCACAGTTCAAGGTTCAATTCTTGGTCAGGGCACGGCTGGGGTTGTGGGCTTGATCCCCAGTGGGGGGCATGCAGGAGGCAGCGGTCCATGATTCTCTCTCATCGTTGATGTTTCTAACTCTCTCTCCCTTCCTCTCTGAGATCAATAAAAATATATTAAAAAAAAAAAAAAAAGATGTGCCCTTAGAGGCTTCAGGCCTGGAACTCAACACCTACTCAGGTAAGGCCCTCCTGGTGGGCGCCCCGGCAGCCCTGACCCACGCACCCCCAGGCCTGCCCCAAACCTGGCACCAGACCCCCTTGGGGGGCGGGAGCACTGCTTACCCGCATGTTGGGGTCGCTCAGGGAGTGCCTGGCCCGCGCGATGGCCTCCTCGGTGACCCGGGTGTCCCCGTTGGCCTGGATCTCCAGCACGGCCATCTGAGGGCGGGGCTGGTCAGGTGGGCGGAGTGCCAGGGGAGATGGGGCGGGCAGCTGGGCAGAGGCCAGGCGGCCATGGCGGTACCTCCAGCGCGCACATCCCAAAGGAGAAGATGTCCACGGCGGTGCGGTCAGCAACCTCTGAGAGCGGGACAGCGTGTCAGGCGGCTGTGGGGCGGGGCGGGCGGCTGCGGCGGGGGGTGGGGGGGTGGGGGGGGCGGCCTCGCGGAGCGGACTCACCTCCGTACTCCGGGGGGAAGAAGTGCAGGTTCCGCAGTTCCTCCCGCTCCGCGCGGATGGGGCTTCGGAGGTCGTCCGGGAGCGCTAGGAGGGGCGCGGAGATGAGCAGACCCGCCCTCTCCGCGGCCCTCCATCCCCGAGGGCCCCCACGCACCGTTGGAGAAGATGCGGTGCCACACTGCGCGGGCGCGGGGGAGAAAGAGCGGGGTCAGCGGGGTGGGGCTGCGGGCGGCCGGCCTCGGCCCGCAGGTCCCCGCTCCGCCCCGACCTGCCCGCACCGGAGCCGATCTTGATGAGGCCGTTGTGCTGGATGAAGATGGTGTCGCTCGTCAGGTTCCCGTGGATGATGGGGGGGCTGCAGGCGTGCAGGAAGCTGCCGGCCGGGGAGCGGAGAGCGGGTCAGGGGCGCGGGGAGGAGGCGGGCGGGGCAGGGGCAGGGGCGCGGGCGGCCCAGCCTCACCTGAGCGCCGACAGGATCTGCGTGCACCAGCGCTTCCAGGCCTGGCGGCGGGCGGGCGCATCCGTGGGTCGGACGGGCGGGGAGAGGCGGCTGGGCCTGCAGGGCCCCCACCGCGACCCCTGCCCCGGCTCAACCCTGTTCCTGCTCCCGAAGCCGCCCCTCTCCCCGCCCGTCCCGACCCCACCCTTCCCCCGCTGCCGCCCCGCCCGCTCCCCGCTCCCCATACCCGCGCGTTCATGGCCTTGTGGTTCTTCTTGGTCTTTTTGAGGAACTGCTTGAGGCTGCCCGACGACACATACTCCGTGATGAAGATAACCTGCCGGGCGGACGGTATCGGGCTCCGCCAGCTGCGGGCGCCGGTGCCCACGGGCGCCCCACCCGCCGCGCCGCACCGCGCCCGCTCCCGCCGGCCGCTCACCCTCGCGCGGGCCTCGGAGGCGTCCAGCCAGTACTTGTGCAGCTTCACGATGTTGGGGTGGTCCACCAGCACCAGCTGCTCAAACATGGTCTGGATCTTCTCCTGGGAGGCGTGGGGGTGCGGTCACGAGGTGGCCACCAGCGGTGGGTGCGGGGGAAGCCACAGGCCTCACCTCGTGGGCAGAGAAGGCCTTCCTGTCGCTGAAGCGCAGCTCGTTCCACACCACCTCCACGCCCTCCTCCGTGTCCATGGCCAGGAAGGTGCTCTGCACGCCGGGCATGTTGCCCTGGTTCACCTGGGGGGGGGGTGTCGGGGAGGCGGCGGGGCTGGGGCTCCGCTCACACCCTTCCCACGGCCCAGCCCAGAGGCGGGCCTGGCCCGCTGGGGGGGGGGGGGCTGAGGGCACCCAGGGGCAGGGCTGAGGGGTTTGGAGCAGGTTCAGGGCGCCGAGCAGGTCCCCGGAGGCTGGTGGCTGGTCCCAGGGGCCTGGGGAAGTGGCTCTGCTAGGCTGGCCCGTAGGGATCGGGGTTCCTCTCCAGGGCGCGGGCCCAGGCCAAAGGGGTGCACGAACGGGGTCGCCCCCTCGAGGCTGCGGAGAGGTTTCGGGTCTCCTGCTCCCCCAGCGACCCCCCGACCCGTCCCCGTGGTGCCCACCTGCTCCCGCCGCTTCTGCCAGCGGCCGCACGGGCTCTCTTCCAGGATGTCGCTCTCGTCTTCGCTCTCCTCCTCCCGCTCCCGCTCCCGGCCCCGCCTGGGCGCAGGCTCGGGAGCCGCCATGGCTCGGCGGGCCCAGGCCGCCGCCCGCCCTGCGATCCGCCGCCGCCGCCGCCCGCCCGCCCAGGCCCCGCGCACAGAGCCGAGCCCGGAGCGGAGCCGCCACTGCTGGGAACCGCGACCCAGGCTCTGGGAATTGAGCGGAGCGGGCGCGCGACCCGGAGGGCGGAGCCCGCCCGCCAGGCCGGAGCCGCCTCCTCGGACCGGATCCCGAGTGGAGCTCCCCGCGGGCGGCTGAGCCCGCGCAGCGCGCGAGCAGGCCCCGCCCGTCGGCGCCCGCAGCCATGCCCCGCCAGTCCCCGCCCTGGAGCCACGCCCGACCGCAGGCCCCGCCCCGCGCGAGACCGCGCCCGGGCCCAGGGCCGTCCATCCTCGGCTAAGACCGGCCCCGCCACCCAATCTGAGCCCCGCCCCACGTGAAGCTCCACCCCATGTTAGGTCCGTCCCACCAAGGCCCCGCCCCACAGAACAAGCCACGCCACGGCGCAGGCGGCACCGATCCCCCCGTTCCGCGTACCGGCCGGACGCCCGCCCTTAAGCCCCGCCCCACAGAAGGCCCAGTCTCGCCTGACTCCCCCCACCTGTCCATCGCGTGCTAATCCCCGCCCCCTAGAAAGCCCCGCCCCGCCCACCTGGCTAATGCCTCGCCCCTCGGGCCCGCCCCTGTCTAGGCCACACCCACCCGCGCCTACGGCCCCGCCCCGGAAAAGCCCACTCGAGGCCCCGCCCCCACGCCTGTCTGGAGGAGGCGGGGTGGAGCCGCGTCCCTCCCCGCTTCCCTGGGCGCTGCAACCAGCAGGGCGGCCGGGATCGGGGTCCTGGGGCCGGCCCAGCCCAGCTCTTAGAGCCTCGCGTTCTCCCCCTGCCCACCGCACCCCCCGTCACAAACAGCCCGGAACCGCGGTGGCCTCCGGGCTTCCCCCTCGGCTGGACCCAGAGTGGAGGGGTCTGGGGCAGCCTGCTAGCCGGCTTGCTCCCCTGGGGTCTGGGGGCGCGGCCTGGGATCTGGACCTGCACCTGGGACTCGGGCCGCCGGGAGGCCCGCTCTCCCACAGGAATGCGGGGAGGAGTCGCGTTCCCTGGGCGATCCCTGGCGCTGCAGGGGGACCCTAAAGTGAGAGTCATGAGTGAGGCCGCTACACGGAGGAGCGGAGGAACGGATGGGGTGGCTTAGCACACAGAAGGCACACTGACTTCCAACGGAAGAAAGGCTTTAATAACAACCAGAAAACACAAAGCGCTGCAGACACCCCAGGGTGACAGGCTGAGGTCCCAGGAACAGACAGTCCTTTGTTCCAAGCGCAGCGGAGCCTGTAAGATGGCCACCCGCCAATATTCCCAGAAATAACAACAAAAGCACAAGGGGGGCCACCACTCGTCAGGATGAACACGCCAGGGAACAGGCCTGCTCTGGACGCGCACCTGGGGGGCCATGGGAAGGGAACAATGTTACCAGATACATTTAAACACTGAGCCGCCCAGCCATTGGCTCCGTGGTTGAGCACGGGCCCAGGAACTCAGAGGTCCCGGGTTCGATGCCAGGGTTGCCCACTCCATCCCCAGAACAGGCTTGCTGGAGGCAGCCCACCGATGTTATTCTCTCATCCATGTTTCTATCTCCCTATCGCTCGCCTCTCACTATTAAATCAAAAATGTATACATTTTAAAAACTAAGTAAAACCAAATTAAAGAATATTTTAAAATCTGAAGAATAGAGTAAGACATATTTGAGAGTTAACATCCCACCACACAAACAGTCCATTCACCCTCAAGACAGAGAAAGAAGTAACAGGCCAGTTTCAGGGTCAAGAGTGGCCTTCTGCAGCAGCTGCATGTAGGTGAGGTTCTCGTGCGTGTTGGGGTCGAAGAAGCCCTTGGTGTCGTCGCTGGGGTCGGCCAGGACGCGGTTCATCTCCTCGTCGAAGTAGCCGTTCTTGTAGGCCACCTCCACGGGCACGCGGTGGCTGTGCACGGGGTCGATGATGCCGCCCGTGGCGATCTGGGCCTCCAGCAGGCGGATGCCGTGGTCCCGGACGATCAGGTCTTTCTTCATGGCCTGGAAGAGGGAGATCTGCTCCCCGGTGTAGGGGTCGGTGTAGCCGGTGACCGCCCGCTCGGCCGACAGCAGCTTGTCCCGGATCTCGCCGCCCACCAGGTCCGCGGCCACGGCCTCGTCCACGGACAGCCGCCGGTTGCCCACGGGGTCGATGAGGAAGCCGGTGGCCGCCTGGGCCTCCAGCAGCACCAGGGCCGTGCCCGGCCGCAGGTGGCCCTTCCACATGGCCTGGTAGACGCTCATCTTCTCCCGCCTCCCGGGCTGGTCCCTGGCGGGCACCAGCACGCCCGCGATGCAGCTCGTGCCCTCCAGGTAGCGCTTGACCGAGTCCATCTTCATCACCTCCTGGGGGCTCTTGGTGCCCTGGGCCAGGCCCTGCAGGGTCTCGGGGTCCAGGACCCTGGAGACGCCCAGCTGGGACGCCGTCACCTGGCGCCTCAGGCCCGGGAAGGACATCTTGCTGAGCCGTTGCTCCGTCTCCTCGACGACCTGGGTGAGGACGGCCACGAGGCCCGGCAGGGCCAGGGCGCCGGCCGCGTGCTGGGCCAGCAGCTCTTCCCGGCGGGCCTGGCTCAGGTAGGAGGAGGAGAGGACGTCCCACACGGACACCGGCTGCCCCTGGAATCGCCCGGCATGCACCTCCATGGTGGCCGCACGCAGAGCCTGCTCCTGGAGGCGCCTGGCGGCCTGGGGGTCGGCCTGGGCGTCACCACGCCCCGGGGGGCTGGACACCTGGAGGTGCTCGGTGCCCTGGGCCCCCTCGGCCTCCTCGATGATGGTGGTCAGCCGGCGGGTCAGCGCGGGCAGGCCCAGCCTCCCCGAGCGGAACTGGGCCAGCAGCTGCTCCCTGCTGCCGGCGCTCACGTAGTCGGACTCCAGCACGTCCCACACGGGCACGGCCGGCCCCCGCAGGCGGCCCACCTTCACCTCCATGGTGACCGCGCTCAGGGCCCGCCTAGGGTCGGCCGGGGCCGGGTGCGGGCTCCCTTCCGGGGCCCCGGCCAGCAGCGAGGTGAGCGAGGCGCCCAGCTGCTGCGCGGTCAGCGTGCCCGCCCGGTACTGGACCAGCAGGTCCTGCCGCAGGCTCTCGGACACCTCCCGGTAGAAGAGCAGCTCCCAGACCGAGACGACCAGGCCCTGGGTGCCGCCGGCGGCCGGGGGCAGCGTCACACGGACGTCGTGCAGGGCGCGGCGCAGCTCCTCGCTGAGCTGGTGCACGACGGAGCCCTGGCCGGCCAGCTGCAGCATGTAGAGCCCCGTGTCGGGGTCGCGCACGCAGCGACGCAGCAGCTGCATGTAGGTGAGGTTCTCGTGCGTGTTGGGGTCGAAGAAGCCCTTGGTGTCGTCGCTGGGGTCGGCCAGGACGCGGTTCATCTCCTCGTCGAAGTAGCCGTTCTTGTAGGCCACCTCCACGGGCACGCGGTGGCTGTGCACGGGGTCGATGATGCCGCCCGTGGCGATCTGGGCCTCCAGCAGGCGGATGCCGTGGTCCCGGACGATCAGGTCTTTCTTCATGGCCTGGAAGAGGGAGATCTGCTCCCCGGTGTAGGGGTCGGTGTAGCCGGTGACCGCCCGCTCGGCCGACAGCAGCTTGTCCCGGATCTCGCCGCCCACCAGGTCCGCGGCCACGGCCTCGTCCACGGACAGCCGCCGGTTGCCCACGGGGTCGATGAGGAAGCCGGTGGCCGCCTGGGCCTCCAGCAGCACCAGGGCCGTGCCCGGCCGCAGGTGGCCCTTCCACATGGCCTGGTAGACGCTCATCTTCTCCCGCCTCCCGGGCTGGTCCCTGGCGGGCACCAGCACGCCCGCGATGCAGCTCGTGCCCTCCAGGTAGCGCTTGACCGAGTCCATCTTCATCACCTCCTGGGGGCTCTTGGTGCCCTGGGCCAGGCCCTGCAGGGTCTCGGGGTCCAGGACCCTGGAGACGCCCAGCTGGGACGCCGTCACCTGGCGCCTCAGGCCCGGGAAGGACATCTTGCTGAGCCGTTGCTCCGTCTCCTCGACGACCTGGGTGAGGACGGCCACGAGGCCCGGCAGGGCCAGGGCGCCGGCCGCGTGCTGGGCCAGCAGCTCTTCCCGGCGGGCCTGGCTCAGGTAGGAGGAGGAGAGGACGTCCCACACGGACACCGGCTGCCCCTGGAATCGCCCGGCATGCACCTCCATGGTGGCCGCACGCAGAGCCTGCTCCTGGAGGCGCCTGGCGGCCTGGGGGTCGGCCTGGGCGTCACCACGCCCCGGGGGGCTGGACACCTGGAGGTGCTCGGTGCCCTGGGCCCCCTCGGCCTCCTCGATGATGGTGGTCAGCCGGCGGGTCAGCGCGGGCAGGCCCAGCCTCCCCGAGCGGAACTGGGCCAGCAGCTGCTCCCTGCTGCCGGCGCTCACGTAGTCGGACTCCAGCACGTCCCACACGGGCACGGCCGGCCCCCGCAGGCGGCCCACCTTCACCTCCATGGTGACCGCGCTCAGGGCCCGCCTAGGGTCGGCCGGGGCCGGGTGCGGGCTCCCTTCCGGGGCCCCGGCCAGCAGCGAGGTGAGCGAGGCGCCCAGCTGCTGCGCGGTCAGCGTGCCCGCCCGGTACTGGACCAGCAGGTCCTGCCGCAGGCTCTCGGACACCTCCCGGTAGAAGAGCAGCTCCCAGACCGAGACGACCAGGCCCTGGGTGCCGCCGGCGGCCGGGGGCAGCGTCACACGGACGTCGTGCAGGGCGCGGCGCAGCTCCTCGCTGAGCTGGTGCACGACGGAGCCCTGGCCGGCCAGCTGCAGCATGTAGAGCCCCGTGTCGGGGTCGCGCACGCAGCGACGCAGCAGCTGCATGTAGGTGAGGTTCTCGTGCGTGTTGGGGTCGAAGAAGCCCTTGGTGTCGTCGCTGGGGTCGGCCAGGACGCGGTTCATCTCCTCGTCGAAGTAGCCGTTCTTGTAGGCCACCTCCACGGGCACGCGGTGGCTGTGCACGGGGTCGATGATGCCGCCCGTGGCGATCTGGGCCTCCAGCAGGCGGATGCCGTGGTCCCGGACGATCAGGTCTTTCTTCATGGCCTGGAAGAGGGAGATCTGCTCCCCGGTGTAGGGGTCGGTGTAGCCGGTGACCGCCCGCTCGGCCGACAGCAGCTTGTCCCGGATCTCGCCGCCCACCAGGTCCGCGGCCACGGCCTCGTCCACGGACAGCCGCCGGTTGCCCACGGGGTCGATGAGGAAGCCGGTGGCCGCCTGGGCCTCCAGCAGCACCAGGGCCGTGCCCGGCCGCAGGTGGCCCTTCCACATGGCCTGGTAGACGCTCATCTTCTCCCGCCTCCCGGGCTGGTCCCTGGCGGGCACCAGCACGCCCGCGATGCAGCTCGTGCCCTCCAGGTAGCGCTTGACCGAGTCCATCTTCATCACCTCCTGGGGGCTCTTGGTGCCCTGGGCCAGGCCCTGCAGGGTCTCGGGGTCCAGGACCCTGGAGACGCCCAGCTGGGACGCCGTCACCTGGCGCCTCAGGCCCGGGAAGGACATCTTGCTGAGCCGTTGCTCCGTCTCCTCGACGACCTGGGTGAGGACGGCCACGAGGCCCGGCAGGGCCAGGGCGCCGGCCGCGTGCTGGGCCAGCAGCTCTTCCCGGCGGGCCTGGCTCAGGTAGGAGGAGGAGAGGACGTCCCACACGGACACCGGCTGCCCCTGGAATCGCCCGGCATGCACCTCCATGGTGGCCGCACGCAGAGCCTGCTCCTGGAGGCGCCTGGCGGCCTGGGGGTCGGCCTGGGCGTCACCACGCCCCGGGGGGCTGGACACCTGGAGGTGCTCGGTGCCCTGGGCCCCCTCGGCCTCCTCGATGATGGTGGTCAGCCGGCGGGTCAGCGCGGGCAGGCCCAGCCTCCCCGAGCGGAACTGGGCCAGCAGCTGCTCCCTGCTGCCGGCGCTCACGTAGTCGGACTCCAGCACGTCCCACACGGGCACGGCCGGCCCCCGCAGGCGGCCCACCTTCACCTCCATGGTGACCGCGCTCAGGGCCCGCCTAGGGTCGGCCGGGGCCGGGTGCGGGCTCCCTTCCGGGGCCCTGGCCAGCAGCGAGGTGAGCGAGGCGCCCAGCTGCTGCGCGGTCAGCGTGCCCGCCCGGTACTGGACCAGCAGGTCCTGCCGCAGGCTCTCGGACACCTCCCGGTAGAAGAGCAGCTCCCAGACCGAGACGACCAGGCCCTGGGTGCCGCCGGCGGCCGGGGGCAGCGTCACACGGACGTCGTGCAGGGCGCGGCGCAGCTCCTCGCTGAGCTGGTGCACGACGGAGCCCTGGCCGGCCAGCTGCAGCATGTAGAGCCCCGTGTCGGGGTCGCGCACGCAGCGACGCAGCAGCTGCATGTAGGTGAGGTTCTCGTGCGTGTTGGGGTCGAAGAAGCCCTTGGTGTCGTCGCTGGGGTCGGCCAGGACGCGGTTCATCTCCTCGTCGAAGTAGCCGTTCTTGTAGGCCACCTCCACGGGCACGCGGTGGCTGTGCACGGGGTCGATGATGCCGCCCGTGGCGATCTGGGCCTCCAGCAGGCGGATGCCGTGGTCCCGGACGATCAGGTCTTTCTTCATGGCCTGGAAGAGGGAGATCTGCTCCCCGGTGTAGGGGTCGGTGTAGCCGGTGACCGCCCGCTCGGCCGACAGCAGCTTGTCCCGGATCTCGCCGCCCACCAGGTCCGCGGCCACGGCCTCGTCCACGGACAGCCGCCGGTTGCCCACGGGGTCGATGAGGAAGCCGGTGGCCGCCTGGGCCTCCAGCAGCACCAGGGCCGTGCCCGGCCGCAGGTGGCCCTTCCACATGGCCTGGTAGACGCTCATCTTCTCCCGCCTCCCGGGCTGGTCCCTGGCGGGCACCAGCACGCCCGCGATGCAGCTCGTGCCCTCCAGGTAGCGCTTGACCGAGTCCATCTTCATCACCTCCTGGGGGCTCTTGGTGCCCTGGGCCAGGCCCTGCAGGGTCTCGGGGTCCAGGACCCTGGAGACGCCCAGCTGGGACGCCGTCACCTGGCGCCTCAGGCCCGGGAAGGACATCTTGCTGAGCCGTTGCTCCGTCTCCTCGACGACCTGGGTGAGGACGGCCACGAGGCCCGGCAGGGCCAGGGCGCCGGCCGCGTGCTGGGCCAGCAGCTCTTCCCGGCGGGCCTGGCTCAGGTAGGAGGAGGAGAGGACGTCCCACACGGACACCGGCTGCCCCTGGAATCGCCCGGCATGCACCTCCATGGTGGCCGCACGCAGAGCCTGCTCCTGGAGGCGCCTGGCGGCCTGGGGGTCGGCCTGGGCGTCACCACGCCCCGGGGGGCTGGACACCTGGAGGTGCTCGGTGCCCTGGGCCCCCTCGGCCTCCTCGATGATGGTGGTCAGCCGGCGGGTCAGCGCGGGCAGGCCCAGCCTCCCCGAGCGGAACTGGGCCAGCAGCTGCTCCCTGCTGCCGGCGCTCACGTAGTCGGACTCCAGCACGTCCCACACGGGCACGGCCGGCCCCCGCAGGCGGCCCACCTTCACCTCCATGGTGACCGCGCTCAGGGCCCGCCTAGGGTCGGCCGGGGCCGGGTGCGGGCTCCCTTCCGGGGCCCCGGCCAGCAGCGAGGTGAGCGAGGCGCCCAGCTGCTGCGCGGTCAGCGTGCCCGCCCGGTACTGGACCAGCAGGTCCTGCCGCAGGCTCTCGGACACCTCCCGGTAGAAGAGCAGCTCCCAGACCGAGACGACCAGGCCCTGGGTGCCGCCGGCGGCCGGGGGCAGCGTCACACGGACGTCGTGCAGGGCGCGGCGCAGCTCCTCGCTGAGCTGGTGCACGACGGAGCCCTGGCCGGCCAGCTGCAGCATGTAGAGCCCCGTGTCGGGGTCGCGCACGCAGCGACGCAGCAGCTGCATGTAGGTGAGGTTCTCGTGCGTGTTGGGGTCGAAGAAGCCCTTGGTGTCGTCGCTGGGGTCGGCCAGGACGCGGTTCATCTCCTCGTCGAAGTAGCCGTTCTTGTAGGCCACCTCCACGGGCACGCGGTGGCTGTGCACGGGGTCGATGATGCCGCCCGTGGCGATCTGGGCCTCCAGCAGGCGGATGCCGTGGTCCCGGACGATCAGGTCTTTCTTCATGGCCTGGAAGAGGGAGATCTGCTCCCCGGTGTAGGGGTCGGTGTAGCCGGTGACCGCCCGCTCGGCCGACAGCAGCTTGTCCCGGATCTCGCCGCCCACCAGGTCCGCGGCCACGGCCTCGTCCACGGACAGCCGCCGGTTGCCCACGGGGTCGATGAGGAAGCCGGTGGCCGCCTGGGCCTCCAGCAGCACCAGGGCCGTGCCCGGCCGCAGGTGGCCCTTCCACATGGCCTGGTAGACGCTCATCTTCTCCCGCCTCCCGGGCTGGTCCCTGGCGGGCACCAGCACGCCCGCGATGCAGCTCGTGCCCTCCAGGTAGCGCTTGACCGAGTCCATCTTCATCACCTCCTGGGGGCTCTTGGTGCCCTGGGCCAGGCCCTGCAGGGTCTCGGGGTCCAGGACCCTGGAGACGCCCAGCTGGGACGCCGTCACCTGGCGCCTCAGGCCCGGGAAGGACATCTTGCTGAGCCGTTGCTCCGTCTCCTCGACGACCTGGGTGAGGACGGCCACGAGGCCCGGCAGGGCCAGGGCGCCGGCCGCGTGCTGGGCCAGCAGCTCTTCCCGGCGGGCCTGGCTCAGGTAGGAGGAGGAGAGGACGTCCCACACGGACACCGGCTGCCCCTGGAATCGCCCGGCATGCACCTCCATGGTGGCCGCACGCAGAGCCTGCTCCTGGAGGCGCCTGGCGGCCTGGGGGTCGGCCTGGGCGTCACCACGCCCCGGGGGGCTGGACACCTGGAGGTGCTCGGTGCCCTGGGCCCCCTCGGCCTCCTCGATGATGGTGGTCAGCCGGCGGGTCAGCGCGGGCAGGCCCAGCCTCCCCGAGCGGAACTGGGCCAGCAGCTGCTCCCTGCTGCCGGCGCTCACGTAGTCGGACTCCAGCACGTCCCACACGGGCACGGCCGGCCCCCGCAGGCGGCCCACCTTCACCTCCATGGTGACCGCGCTCAGGGCCCGCCTAGGGTCGGCCGGGGCCGGGTGCGGGCTCCCTTCCGGGGCCCCGGCCAGCAGCGAGGTGAGCGAGGCGCCCAGCTGCTGCGCGGTCAGCGTGCCCGCCCGGTACTGGACCAGCAGGTCCTGCCGCAGGCTCTCGGACACCTCCCGGTAGAAGAGCAGCTCCCAGACCGAGACGACCAGGCCCTGGGTGCCGCCGGCGGCCGGGGGCAGCGTCACACGGACGTCGTGCAGGGCGCGGCGCAGCTCCTCGCTGAGCTGGTGCACGACGGAGCCCTGGCCGGCCAGCTGCAGCATGTAGAGCCCCGTGTCGGGGTCGCGCACGCAGCGACGCAGCAGCTGCATGTAGGTGAGGTTCTCGTGCGTGTTGGGGTCGAAGAAGCCCTTGGTGTCGTCGCTGGGGTCGGCCAGGACGCGGTTCATCTCCTCGTCGAAGTAGCCGTTCTTGTAGGCCACCTCCACGGGCACGCGGTGGCTGTGCACGGGGTCGATGATGCCGCCCGTGGCGATCTGGGCCTCCAGCAGGCGGATGCCGTGGTCCCGGACGATCAGGTCTTTCTTCATGGCCTGGAAGAGGGAGATCTGCTCCCCGGTGTAGGGGTCGGTGTAGCCGGTGACCGCCCGCTCGGCCGACAGCAGCTTGTCCCGGATCTCGCCGCCCACCAGGTCCGCGGCCACGGCCTCGTCCACGGACAGCCGCCGGTTGCCCACGGGGTCGATGAGGAAGCCGGTGGCCGCCTGGGCCTCCAGCAGCACCAGGGCCGTGCCCGGCCGCAGGTGGCCCTTCCACATGGCCTGGTAGACGCTCATCTTCTCCCGCCTCCCGGGCTGGTCCCTGGCGGGCACCAGCACGCCCGCGATGCAGCTCGTGCCCTCCAGGTAGCGCTTGACCGAGTCCATCTTCATCACCTCCTGGGGGCTCTTGGTGCCCTGGGCCAGGCCCTGCAGGGTCTCGGGGTCCAGGACCCTGGAGACGCCCAGCTGGGACGCCGTCACCTGGCGCCTCAGGCCCGGGAAGGACATCTTGCTGAGCCGTTGCTCCGTCTCCTCGACGACCTGGGTGAGGACGGCCACGAGGCCCGGCAGGGCCAGGGCGCCGGCCGCGTGCTGGGCCAGCAGCTCTTCCCGGCGGGCCTGGCTCAGGTAGGAGGAGGAGAGGACGTCCCACACGGACACCGGCTGCCCCTGGAATCGCCCGGCATGCACCTCCATGGTGGCCGCACGCAGAGCCTGCTCCTGGAGGCGCCTGGCGGCCTGGGGGTCGGCCTGGGCGTCACCACGCCCCGGGGGGCTGGACACCTGGAGGTGCTCGGTGCCCTGGGCCCCCTCGGCCTCCTCGATGATGGTGGTCAGCCGGCGGGTCAGCGCGGGCAGGCCCAGCCTCCCCGAGCGGAACTGGGCCAGCAGCTGCTCCCTGCTGCCGGCGCTCACGTAGTCGGACTCCAGCACGTCCCACACGGGCACGGCCGGCCCCCGCAGGCGGCCCACCTTCACCTCCATGGTGACCGCGCTCAGGGCCCGCCTAGGGTCGGCCGGGGCCGGGTGCGGGCTCCCTTCCGGGGCCCCGGCCAGCAGCGAGGTGAGCGAGGCGCCCAGCTGCTGCGCGGTCAGCGTGCCCGCCCGGTACTGGACCAGCAGGTCCTGCCGCAGGCTCTCGGACACCTCCCGGTAGAAGAGCAGCTCCCAGACCGAGACGACCAGGCCCTGGGTGCCGCCGGCGGCCGGGGGCAGCGTCACACGGACGTCGTGCAGGGCGCGGCGCAGCTCCTCGCTGAGCTGGTGCACGACGGAGCCCTGGCCGGCCAGCTGCAGCATGTAGAGCCCCGTGTCGGGGTCGCGCACGCAGCGACGCAGCAGCTGCATGTAGGTGAGGTTCTCGTGCGTGTTGGGGTCGAAGAAGCCCTTGGTGTCGTCGCTGGGGTCGGCCAGGACGCGGTTCATCTCCTCGTCGAAGTAGCCGTTCTTGTAGGCCACCTCCACGGGCACGCGGTGGCTGTGCACGGGGTCGATGATGCCGCCCGTGGCGATCTGGGCCTCCAGCAGGCGGATGCCGTGGTCCCGGACGATCAGGTCTTTCTTCATGGCCTGGAAGAGGGAGATCTGCTCCCCGGTGTAGGGGTCGGTGTAGCCGGTGACCGCCCGCTCGGCCGACAGCAGCTTGTCCCGGATCTCGCCGCCCACCAGGTCCGCGGCCACGGCCTCGTCCACGGACAGCCGCCGGTTGCCCACGGGGTCGATGAGGAAGCCGGTGGCCGCCTGGGCCTCCAGCAGCACCAGGGCCGTGCCCGGCCGCAGGTGGCCCTTCCACATGGCCTGGTAGACGCTCATCTTCTCCCGCCTCCCGGGCTGGTCCCTGGCGGGCACCAGCACGCCCGCGATGCAGCTCGTGCCCTCCAGGTAGCGCTTGACCGAGTCCATCTTCATCACCTCCTGGGGGCTCTTGGTGCCCTGGGCCAGGCCCTGCAGGGTCTCGGGGTCCAGGACCCTGGAGACGCCCAGCTGGGACGCCGTCACCTGGCGCCTCAGGCCCGGGAAGGACATCTTGCTGAGCCGTTGCTCCGTCTCCTCGACGACCTGGGTGAGGACGGCCACGAGGCCCGGCAGGGCCAGGGCGCCGGCCGCGTGCTGGGCCAGCAGCTCTTCCCGGCGGGCCTGGCTCAGGTAGGAGGAGGAGAGGACGTCCCACACGGACACCGGCTGCCCCTGGAATCGCCCGGCATGCACCTCCATGGTGGCCGCACGCAGAGCCTGCTCCTGGAGGCGCCTGGCGGCCTGGGGGTCGGCCTGGGCGTCACCACGCCCCGGGGGGCTGGACACCTGGAGGTGCTCGGTGCCCTGGGCCCCCTCGGCCTCCTCGATGATGGTGGTCAGCCGGCGGGTCAGCGCGGGCAGGCCCAGCCTCCCCGAGCGGAACTGGGCCAGCAGCTGCTCCCTGCTGCCGGCGCTCACGTAGTCGGACTCCAGCACGTCCCACACGGGCACGGCCGGCCCCCGCAGGCGGCCCACCTTCACCTCCATGGTGACCGCGCTCAGGGCCCGCCTAGGGTCGGCCGGGGCCGGGTGCGGGCTCCCTTCCGGGGCCCCGGCCAGCAGCGAGGTGAGCGAGGCGCCCAGCTGCTGCGCGGTCAGCGTGCCCGCCCGGTACTGGACCAGCAGGTCCTGCCGCAGGCTCTCGGACACCTCCCGGTAGAAGAGCAGCTCCCAGACCGAGACGACCAGGCCCTGGGTGCCGCCGGCGGCCGGGGGCAGCGTCACACGGACGTCGTGCAGGGCGCGGCGCAGCTCCTCGCTGAGCTGGTGCACGACGGAGCCCTGGCCGGCCAGCTGCAGCATGTAGAGCCCCGTGTCGGGGTCGCGCACGCAGCGACGCAGCAGCTGCATGTAGGTGAGGTTCTCGTGCGTGTTGGGGTCGAAGAAGCCCTTGGTGTCGTCGCTGGGGTCGGCCAGGACGCGGTTCATCTCCTCGTCGAAGTAGCCGTTCTTGTAGGCCACCTCCACGGGCACGCGGTGGCTGTGCACGGGGTCGATGATGCCGCCCGTGGCGATCTGGGCCTCCAGCAGGCGGATGCCGTGGTCCCGGACGATCAGGTCTTTCTTCATGGCCTGGAAGAGGGAGATCTGCTCCCCGGTGTAGGGGTCGGTGTAGCCGGTGACCGCCCGCTCGGCCGACAGCAGCTTGTCCCGGATCTCGCCGCCCACCAGGTCCGCAGCCACGGCCTCGTCCACGGACAGCCGCCGGTTGCCCACGGGGTCGATGAGGAAGCCGGTGGCCGCCTGGGCCTCCAGCAGCACCAGGGCCGTGCCCGGCCGCAGGTGGCCCTTCCACATGGCCTGGTAGACGCTCATCTTCTCCCGCCTCCCGGGCTGGTCCCTGGCGGGCACCAGCACGCCCGCGATGCAGCTCGTGCCCTCCAGGTAGCGCCTCACGCCGGCGTCCTGCCCCACGTCCTCCACGCTGCTGTGTCCGGCCTCCAGCTGCTGCAGCGTTTCCTTGGTGATGATGGCCGCCTGGAAGAGCTCGGTGGCCGTGATGTGCCTCCGGATGCCCCGGAACCACAGCTGCCTCGCGCTCTTCTCCTTCTCGTCGATCATCACGAAGATTTTGTTCACCACCTTGTCCAGGGCCTTGGCCGTGTCTCGCTTGTATTTTCCCACCAACTCCAGCTTCTTCTCCTCCGTGACGTACTCGGAGTTCAGCAGCTCCCACACGGACGGCCGCTGTCCCCGGTACCTGCCTACCGGGACGTCCACCCGCTCGACCTCCAGGGCCTTCCTCGTGGCCTCGTCGATGTGCGTGGTGTCCTTCTCCTCGCGGGTCACGGGGAACAGAGCCCAGCCCGTCCCCTCTTCCTGGCAGCTTCGCCCCTGAAGCTCCTGGTACGTCACCTTCTCGTGGGTGTTGGGGTCCAGGAACCTCTTGTTCATGTGCTTCTGATCAGACACGAGGGCGTAGGTGTCGCGGCGCAGACAGCCGCGCGCGTAGGCCGTGTCCAGTGGGAGCCGTAGGTGGTGCCGCGGGTCGATGACCCCGCCCGTGGCCACCTGCACTTCCAGCAGCCGGAGCGCCTCCTCCCGCTTTACCAGCTTTCTGTCCGTGGCCTGGGACAGTGGGACCGTGTCCCCCGTGTCTGGGTCCACGTAGCCTTTGGCGGCCTTCTCGGCGTCCAGGAGCCTCTCCCGAAGCTCCTCGCCCACCAGGCCCGCGGCCACGGCCTCGTCCACCGAGAGCCTCCGGTGGCTGCGGGGGTCCAGCAGGAAGCCTGTGGCCGCCTGGGCCTCCAGCAGCTGGGCCGCGAATCCCGTGGGGACGAGGCCCCTCACGCTGGCCTCGTAGAGGCTCAGCACCTCCTGTGTGGAAGGGACAGTCACCCCCGCGATGCAGCCGCTGCCCTGCAGGGCGACCTTCACGTTCGGCAGCTCCAGGAGGGCCTGGGCCCCGGGCCGCGAGTCCAGCGTCTTTTTGTCGATGACGCCGGCGTTGAACAACTCTGCGGCGGTCACCTCCCCGCCGATCCCGGCCACCCTGACCGCCTGGTGTTGCTTCTCTGTCTCCTCCACGACGGCCGTGATGAGGCCCAGCAGCTGCTGCAGGTTCAGGGCCCGGGCGTGCCACTGCTGGGCCAGCTCCCGCCGCCGCTCCTCCGAGAAGTACTGCGACGACAGCAGGTCCCAGACAGAGACGGTCCGCCCGGCGAACCGGCCCACGTGCAGGGTCATGGTCTGCGCCCGCAGAGCCCGCCTGGTGGCCTCATCCACGTACGCGTACGTCTCCCCTTTCTTAACGATTTGCAGCAGGTACAGGCCGGTCTCGGGGTCACGCACGCAGCGCTCCAGCAGCTGCAGGTACGTGAGGTTCTCGTGCGTGTTGGGGTCGAAGAAGCCCTTGGTGTCGTCGCTGGGGTCGGCCAGGACGCGGTTCATCTCCTCGTCGAAGTAGCCGCGCTGGTAGGCCACTTCCACGGGCACGCGGTGGCTGTGCACGGGGTCGATGATGCCGCCTGTGGCGATCTGGGCCTCCAGCAGGCGGATGCCGTGGTCCCGGACGATCAGTTCCTTCTTCATGGCCTGGAAGAGGGAGATCTGCTCCCCGGTGTAGGGGTCGGTGTAGCCGGTGACCGCCCGCTCGGCCGACAGCAGCTTCTGGTAGGTTTCCTTCCCGAACATCCCTGCCCCGAAGGCCTCCTCCACGGTCAGCTTCCGGTTCTCCGTGGGGTCGATGAGGAAGCCGGTGGCCGCCTGGGCCTCCAGCAGCACCAGGGCCGTGCCCGGCCGCAGGAGGCCCCTGCTCAGGGCCTCCGAGATGCTCATCCGCTCCTGGGTGGCCTGGACCAGGACGCCGGCGATGAAGTTGCCTCCCTCCAGGAAGGTCCGCACGCTGTCCATGGCGGTCACCTCCTGCACCGTCCTCGTGCCCTGGTTCAGCTCGTCCAGGGTCTTCTTGTCGATCACGTGGGACCGGAACAGGTCGCCGGCCGACACCTGCTTGCGCAGCCCCCGGAAGACGGCCTGCGCGGGCTTGGTCTCCGAGGCCTCGACCAGGGCGGTGAGGGCCTGCACCACCTGCCGCAGGGCCGTGGCCCGCCCCGACTGGCAGAGCGCCGCCAGCTCCCGCCGCTTCTGGTCGCCCACGTACTCCGAGTGCAGCAGGTCCCAGAGCGAAACTGTGAGCCCCTTGAACCTCCCGGCCCCGACGGGCACCTTCATGGCCCTGAGGGCCACGGCCGTGTGGTTGTCCACCTCCAGGGCCACGCCCTGGGGGAGGGGCAGCAGCCACAGGCCAGTGTCCGCGTCCAGGACACAGCGCTCCCTCAGCTGCTGGTAGGTCACCCGGTCCCGCCTGCTAGGGTCGAAGAAGAACTTGCTGTCCTCATCCGTCCCGGTCAGCGCCTGGAGCGTCCGCTCGTCCAGGAGGCCCAGCCTGCAGGCTGCCGCCGGGGGGAGGTGCACCCCATGGGCGGGGTCCACGGCGCCCCCCGTGGCCAGCTGGGCCTGCAGGAGGGGCAGGCCCTCCCGCCGGGGCACGAGCCCCTTCTCCATGGCCTGCCACAGCGAGAGGGGGCTCCCGGAGAAGGGGTCGGTGTAGCCGGCCACGGCCCGCTCCGCCTGCCGGAGCTGCTCACTCAGCGCCCCGCTCACCAGCCCCACCTTGACCGCGGCTTCCACAGACAGCCTCTGGTTGGTCAGAGGGTCCACCAGGGAGCCGCACGCGGCCTGGGCCTCCAGCAGGCTCTGCCCCAGGCCGGGGGGCAGCAGGCCGTCCTGCATGGCCTGGGCGATGCTGGCCTTGGTCCCCGAGGGCTGGAGCAGCACGCCGGCCACGGCGCCCGTGCCCCACAGGCAGGCCTTCACCGTGGGCTCCTCGGCCACCTCGGCGGGCGACCGTGTGCCCTGGGTCAGCGCCGCCAGGGTCTCCTGAGTGATGATGCCGGCGTCCAGCAGCCAGACCGCGGGGACCTCGCCCCGAGGGCCGGGCACGGTGACCCGGGCCCGCGCCAGGAGCTTGGCCGCCTGCACCCAGCCCCGCACGGCCGCCTGCAGCTGCGGCACCGTGGTCTTGCCCACCTGCACGTCCTCCAGGAAGCCCCGCCGCTGCTCCTCCGTGAAATGGCAGGAGGCCAGCAGCTCCCAGAGGGACGAGCCGTCCTCCGCGCCTGGCGTGGCCTGCAGGGTCTCCTGCAGCTGCTGGTCGGAGGGGCCGGCGGGCACACCTTCCTGCAGGGGCAGCAGGTAGAGGCCGGAAGCCTCATCCTTCAGACACTGCCCCAGGAGCCGGGCATAGCTGGTGCGGCCCCGGCCGTCCGGCGTGGGGAAGGTGTCCGGGGAGCTGGACAAGGCCGCCTCCATCTCCTGGTCGATGCAGCCACGCTCGGCGGCCACGGGCAGGGAGAGGTGGTAGTGGCCCGTGGGGTCGATGACCCCTCCCGTGGCCACCTGGGCCTCCAGGAGGCGGGCGGCCTGCTCCTCCCGGACGAGGCCCTTCTTCATGGCCTGGAACAGGGACACCCGCTCCTGGGAAAAGGGGTCTCGGAAGCCGGTCAGGGCGCCCTCGGCCCGTCGCAGCCGGGCGTACAACTCCGGCCCCACCAGCTCCCTGCGCACAGCCTCCTCCACCGACAGGGCCTCCAGGCTGTCGGGGTCCGTCAGGGCTCCGGTGGCCGCCTGGGCCTCCAGCAGGGCCAGGGCCAGGCCAGGCCGCAGCAGCTGCTGCTTCATGGCCTGGTAGAGGCTGAGCCTCCGGTTGGAGGCCGGCAGCAGCACCCCGCCCACGGCGCCCGAGCCGCGCAGGGACGTGCGGACGCCTTCCACGCGGAGCAGGGCCTCGGGGCTGAGCGTCCCCGCCAGCAGCCGGTCCAGGAGCTCCTGGTCGATGATCTGGGCCTCCAGGAGCTGGTAGGCGGTGGCCCGGCCCCGCAGGGCGGGCAGCATGACGTCCGCACACCTGGCCGCCTCCCTCTGCAACAGCTTGGCCACCTGCTCCAGGGAGACCTCGCGCCGCCGGAAGCTGTGCAGGAGCTGCCGCCGCCGGGCCTCACTGAAGCACTCGGAGTTGAGCAGCTCCCACGCCGACACCCGCCGCCCCCGGAACCGCCCGTACTTCCCCGGGAGCAGCAGGTTCTGGAAGGCCCGCCGGGTGGCCGCGTCCGCCAGCTGGGGCTGGGCACTGCTGAGCGGCAGCAGGTACAGGCCGGTCTCGGGGTCGCGCACGCAGCGCTCCAGCAGCTGCATGTAGGTGAGGTTCTCGTGCGTGTTGGGGTCGAAGAAGCCCTTGGTGTCGTCGCTGGGGTCGGCCAGGACGTGGTTCATCTCCTCGTCGAAGTAGCCGTTCTTGTAGGCCACCTCCACGGGCACGCGGTGGCTGTGCACGGGGTCGATGATGCCGCCCGTGGCGATCTGGGCCTCCAGCAGGCGGATGCCGTGGTCCCGGACGATCAGCTCCTTCTTCATGGCCTGGAAGAGGGAGATCTGCTCCCCGGTGTAGGGGTCGGTGTAGCCGGTGACCGCCCGCTCGGCCGACAGCAGCTTGGCGAACACGCTGGGCCCAATGACGCCGGCCCTCAGCGCCTCCTGCACGGAGTACCTCTGGTTCTCCTTGGGGTCGATGACAAAGCCGGTGGCGGCCTGCGCCTCCAGCAGGATGAGGGCCGTGCCCGGCCTGAGCAACCCCTTCCTCTGCGCCTCGTCGATGCTGAGCCGCTCCTGGGAGCCGGGCAGCAGCAGGCCGGCGATGCAGCCCGTGCCCTGCAGGTACCGCTGCACGGAGTCCAGGCTGCCCACGTGCTGGGCCGTGGTCTGCCCGCGTGCCAGCTGCTCGTACACCTCAGGGCCGATGATTTCTGCCTTCAGCAGCTCTCCGGGGGTCACGGGGACCCGCAGCCCCGAGAAGGTGGTCTTGGCCGTGGCTGCGGCCTGCTCCAGGGTGGTCCTCAGCACCGCGGCCAGCTCCTCCACCGACAGGGCCCCCGCCTGGTGCTGCTGGGCCAGCGCTGCCCTCTGCCCCGCGGGCACGGCTTCAGAGAAAAGCAGCTCCCACAGTGACACGGGCCGGCCCTGGAACTTGCCCGCGGAGACGGTGGTGGTGGCCGCACTCAGGGCCTCCTGGGTGCTGTGCTCGATGAACGGGAGTCCCTGTGGCTCCTCCCCAGGGGCCTCCCCAGGGAGGGGCAGGAAGGCCAGCCCCATCTCGGGGTCGGTGACGCAGCGGGCCAGCAGCTGCCCGTAGCTGAGGCTCTCCTGCGTGCCGGGGTCTGAGAAGCCCGCGGCCCGTGAGAGCTGCTGCTGCGTCTCCTCGTCCAGGCAGGCGAAGCGCAGGGCGGCTTCCAGGGGCAGCCGCACCCTGCGGGCCGGGCACACCAGCCCGCCCGTGGCCAGCTGTGCATCCAGCAGCCGCAGCGCCAGGGGCCTGTCCACCAGCCCCTTCTTCATGGCCTGGAAGAGGGGGAGGCGGGAGCCGCTGAAGGGGTCGGGGAACCCCGCCACCGCCTGCTCAGCCTCCAGGAGCTGCCCGTGCAGCTCGGGGCCCACCAGGCCCGCCCGGACCGCCTCGTCCACGCACAGCCGCTGGCCGGTGGCCGGATCCACCAGTGTGCCGGTGGCGGCCTGGGCCTCGAGCAGCGGCAGCACGGCGCCCAGCGGGAGCAGGTGCTCAGCCACGGCCTGGAAGAAGCTCTTCTTGCAGCCGGCGGGCAGCAGGACAACGCCCGCCACAGCCCCGGTGCCCTGCAGGTAGCGCTGCACCTGGGGGCGCGCGCTCACGTCGGGCACCGCCAGCCGGCCCTCCTGCAGGCCCCGGGCCGTCTCCTCATCCAGGACCCCCGCCTCCAGCAGCTCCGCCAAGCTGGCCGCCCCGCTCAGCGTGCGGAAGGTGGTCTTGAGCGGCAGCAGGGCCAGCCCGGTGCCGGGGGCCCGCACGCACCTGCCCAGCAGCTCGCGGTAGCTCAGCCGCTCCAGCGTGTTGGGGTCCAGGAAGCCCGGAGCGTGCTCCTCCAGGCCGCGCTGCGTCTCCCGGTCCAGGAGGCCCTGCTGGCAGGCCAGCTCCGGGGCCACCCGCACACCCCGGGAGGGGTCTACCAGGCCGCCTGTGGCCAGCTGGGCCTCCAGCCAGCCCCACCCCAGGGCCCGGTCCACCACCTCCTTCCCAATGGCCTGGAAGAGGGGCAGCTTCTCGCCCCCGTAGGGGTCAGCGTAGCCGGTGACGGCCCGCTCGGCCGCCAGCAGCTTCTCCCGCAGCTCCAGGCCCACCAGGCCCTGCTGCAGGGCCACCGACACGGGCAGCAGCTGGCCCTGCGCGGGGTCCACGAGGCCCCCGGTGGCCGCCTGGGCCTCCAGCAGAGCCAGCCCGAGCCCGGCGGGCAGCAGGCCCTGCTTCATCGCCGCGTAGAGGCTCAGGGCCCGGCCGGAGGCCTCCACCAACACCCCGGCCACGCTCCTGGCCTGGGGCCCAGGGGGAGAGCCGGCTTCCGGCACGGCCTTGATGGTCTTGGGGACCGTGGTCGGCTCGGGGCCGCTGGCGGCCAGGACGTCAGGAAAAGCGTCGCCGTTCATGGTGCCGGCTGGCTGCAGGCCTCGCTTGCCAGGATCCGCTGTCTGCTCCCTGCGGAGGGTGGAAGGGTCCGTCGTGAGGAGCCCTGGATGGCCCAGGGGGGCAAGGTCACCCGGGAGCAATCGGGGGCCAATCCCAGAGTCTGGGTGCCCTCCAGGGGACGGGGTCAGCACCCAGGTGAGTCCCTCCATCCCCGGGCCGGCCCAGGAGAGACCAGGGCACGGAGACCCCAGCAACGCCTCTGCTCCCTCCTGTGGACACCCTCAGGCCTCCCTCCAGCCCAGCACCCTCCTCCCCAACCCCATGCCCGGGAGGTGCTGGGCCCCGCGTGCCTGCCTCGGGCCTCACCACCGTGTTCACGGACACCAGCTCCCAGCTCATCCTTCGCCCGGTGACCTACAAACTCACGCCCTCCCTCCGGCTTCCTGCTGGCCGCAGCCCCTCACCCCACACCCCCTCCCCCACCCTGTGACCCCCAAGTCCCCCTCCCAGGCTGGTTCCACGTCCTTTCCCCACCCGTGCTCCCTCTCGGTATGGCTTCTCTGTGCCCACACCTGGGCGTCCGGGATGCCAGAGTCCGTGCCGAGTGCTGGCCTGGCGGGGCTGTGGGCAGGGCCAGGCACAGTCTCCAGCCCGTGGGGTCCCGGTCAGCTGACTCCAAGCCCAGCCCCTCCACGCTGTCCCCTCCGCCAAGAGCCGCGCACGATTCCCTGAGCGGCGGGGACAGGTCTGGCCTCCCCCCAGGCCTGTCTCTCCTGTGCTGGGTTAGATTGGGTTCCCCCAAACCATAGCTCAGTCCTGGCCTCCGCCCAGGGCCCTGGCCTCCGGGAAACCAGCCTCTGCAGGTGCAAATAAGACGAGGTCACCTGGGGGCAGGCAGGGCGGGCGGATCCACCCGCCTGGTGTCCTTGGGAAGACACCCAGGGACAGGCCGAGGCTGGAGGCAGATGGGCGGACCCGCCAAATTCCAGAAGCACCCATCTCCAGCCGCCCAGGCCCGTGCTGGGAAGGTGCTGCTGCTGTCCTGAGACACCCAGGCTGTGGCAACCGTTGCGACAGCCACAGCGCAGGGAGGCGGCGCCTGCCCTCTCGGCCTGTGAACCGTCCCCTCTCCGCTTCCCCAGAGCCACACCCTCGGCCCCCTGTCCCGGTCCACACCCTCCCTCCTGCTCTCCGATCCCCGCCCAATCCTCGCCTCTCAGCTCCCCAAAGTCCCACACCCCACACCCCACACCCCACCTCGAGTCTGGGGAGAAGCTCAGGCCCAGGTCTGCCCCTCGCCCCCCACACCACTGCCTCTGTTGACGTGACCTCGGACTCCGGCTGCCACATCTGACAAACCTATTTTGGGGCTGCTGGCCCCTGACCTCCAGGTCATAGGGCGTGGGACCCTCGTCTGTGGGGGCAGGTTTCTGCTCCGCCTCCACTTCCCCGTGAACTCGGAGTGCCTCGAGGCTGCTCGGCCCGAGTTGCCACCCGGCCAGGCTGCCCCAGAACCACAAGCCCAGTCACCCCGACACCCACGCCCCGGCCTCACTGCAGCTCGAACCCCGTGGCGCCCACCGCTGCTGGCCCCTCCGAGGTGCTGGGCCCTGCCCTCCCCAGCTGGCTGCTCCAGGGGTGCCCCTCCACCCTGGCCCCTCTCGTGCCCATGGGTGCCCATGCCCTTGGCAGCCCTGCAGCCTGGAGGAGGGGTCAGCGGGGGAGCACCTGGGAGAGGCCAAGGCCTCTGAGGGGCTGAGTCCTGGAGGGAAGACCAACGGCCTCAGGCCTCCTCTCTCAGGTGCTGCCATGCAGGCTGGCACCCAGCCCCGCCCTCCCGGCAGCAGCGCCAGGTAACAGGCTGCCGGGCGGCTGGAACAGAGCACCTGTCCCCGGAGGCTGCCGGGAAGGCTGGACAAGGGTCAGGAGGAGAGGCACCTCTCCCCCAGGAAGGGGCAGGGCTTGCAGGTGGGCGGCCAGGCGGGCTTGGCTGTGCATGGCCCCTGGCGGAGGCTGGCGGCCAGCGCAGACCCCTGACGGCTGTGCTGCGGGGAGGAGGCGGGGCTGGGGCGCCAGGGGCACAGGTAGCGGGAGTGGGGGCTGCGGCTGGACCGGGCCTCCTTCCGGAGGGAGGGCCCGGGAGCAGGTGCCTGGAGTGTGTGGTGGGGACCTAGGACGGAGGGTTTGGGAGAGGCAGGCCCGGGCATGTGCGGGTCCAGGGCCCGGCAGCAGGCACCCCGGCAGCCCAGGGTCCCAGAAACAAAAAATGGGCGTCAGGGGGAGGTGGCCCCCCGGGGAGAAGGCCGGTGGGGCAGGGGCTGGGGGCGGGGAGCGGGGGGCGGAGCAGACCCCATCCCCCATTAATAAATAAATAAATAAATAAATAAAGACAAAGGGAACCTGGAAGGGCGGGCCCTCCCCTCCCCCTCCGGGCAGCCGCCCCGCTTCCAGGGCCCCAGGTGAGCGGGGCGGGCCATTCCAGGAGGTCACAGGTGAATTCCTGGGGCGGGCACTGTCCGTCAGGCCTGGGGCGGGCAGCCACCTGGTGTCCACCGGCAGCCAGACCAGAATGGGCACGTGGCCGGCCGCTTCCTGCGGGAGGCGACTCCCTCCGCCCGGAAGCCCGGCCCCGGGGCTGACGGACGGGGGTCAATAGCCCCGCAGAGTCGCGGCCGGATGGGCGGGGCGCGGGCCAGCGACCCCTCCGCGCCTGCCTCCCGGTCCCGCGGCGGCCGCGCCCAGTTGGCCCTGCGCCTCCGGGACAGCGGGCAGCTCCGCGTGTCGGCACCTCTGCGCCCCGCCGGGAGCCGCGCCGCCGGAACGCCTCCCCGGGGCCCTGGCGGCTCCGGTCCAAACGCGCCCCACCCCCCGCCGCCCTGCAGGGGCACGGAGAACCCGCACCGTCCTGCTGGGACCCCGCCCAGAGCCGGCCGAGGCCCCCACGCGAACCGCCGTCTCCCCACCCACTCGGGGCTGCGGCCACCGGAGGACCCGGCGGACCGGAGGGACAGGGCGCCCGCCTCCCGGACCCGCGTCGGCGGAGCTCGGTGCCGGGTGGGAGCTCAGCCCGCGCCCGCGCCCCCGCCTCTGCGCCCCGCTCGCCGCGCACTTGTTTCGGTTTCGCTGGAGCTTCGCGCCCGGACGCCCCACCTGCGCTCAAGCACCGGCCGCTGCGCTGCGCTCGCTCCCGGTGCGCCCTGCGCGCACGGATTTAAACGCGCTGGGCTCCTCCCCGGGGGGGCCCCGCCCCGTCTGAGGGCGGCGCCGGGTGGGGCGCCCCGAAAACAGGTGGGGAGACACGTCCTGGGAATCCCGCGCGGGGCCCGAGCGACGCTCCACGCGCGACCTGCTGCGGCCGCCTGTGAGCGCCCCAAGGCGGAGAGGGTCCCCCGGTGGAGCGGGGCCTCCCCGCCCTCCCTGCCCGTCCGACCCTCCCTGGTCACCGGTCACCGCTCAGGAATGAGGGCGGCGCCTGCCACGCGCCTGGACAGCGTGGACTGGAGGCTGTTCGGACGTGCGACCCGCGGGGCGCCCGGCGTTGCTTCCCAAATCGCAGCTTCATTGCCCACGCGGGGCTGGAGGCCGCTGCCCACGCCCTCCCCGGGCTGAGCCAGGGTGGCCTCAGGGCTCCCCTTCGTGCGCCCCTCTGTGGCCTTGACCTTCACGAGCGGGGTCAGCTCCCAGGCTCTGCCTCCCCGCTGGGGCCTCCTCACACCTGCTCCCCGCTGGGCCGGGGTCCTGGCCGCCTGTGCGCTCCTCTCTGCCCACATTCCCCGCGCTGGCCACGCCGTGTGGCAGCCCGGGCCTCTGACCTGCGGCCCTGACCTGGACGGACAGTGAGCTCCGCCTGAGCCCACACCCTGCCCGCCCCCTGCCCCCTCCTCCCCAGCCGCCCTTCAGGGAAGCATGGCCACCACAGGACCCAGGTGGGCGCCAGCCCCTCGCCGTGGGCGCAGGATGAGGCTGGCGGGGCAGCGTCTTTCTCCCGTGCCCAGGGCGGGGCAGGCTTCCGGGGGCTGGCCCTGCCCAGCCTCTCCCACTGTTCTTGTCCTGAGGGCTCTTCTCCCTGTGGCAGTCTCCAGCTCACCTCTTCCCCGGCCCCTAACCCTGGGGACCTGGCCACTGTCCTCGAAGCCCCGGGCTGTCCCTGGTTGGGGTCCCTCAGAGCCAGCACCGTCCCTGGACCTCCGGCCCAGCCACCCACACAGCAGGGAGGGGCCGCACCCCGCCACCCTCGCCGCCTCTGGGAGCTGGTGCCCTGACCAGAGCTGGCCACTGGGCCCCAGGCCCCCCAGGAGCTGTGTGCAGCCCTGCAGGCCCCCATGTCCCCCAGATCAGGGGCAGGTCAGGGGCACCCCAGAGCAGTGTCCCCATGCTGACCCCGGCCTGGTTGGGGGGGGGCTGTGTGGGCTCTGACCCCGGCCTGGTGGGGGGGCGGGGCCTGCGTGGGCTCTGGCCCTGGCCTCAGTGGCCCTCAGTGAGCCTCACCCCCTCCAGGACACGACCGACTGACGCAGAGGGCTGTGGGCCAGAGGTGGGCGGGACGCGGGGCCAGTGGGTGAGGGGTGGGCACAGGGCAGAGCGGGCTGACCTCTTTGTCCAGGGGCCGGACGCCAGGGCCCACAGCCCCGCAGTTGCAGCAGCAGGCCTGAGGGCGGTGCCCTCCCCGGTCCCTGCTCCCAGGGCAGGGCTGCTCCCCAGCACAGACGCCCCAGCAGAGGCTGCGCACCCCACCACTCCCTTGGGAGCCCCGTCATCAGAGGAGCCTCACTACCGCCCGCCTCCAGTAGGCCCAGCTGTCCCCAGCAAAGGGGGACGAGGGGGACGGGACAGGCTGGCTGTGGGCGCATCCAGAGAGGCCTGTTTAGTGGGGAGGCCACAGCTCTGCCCAGCGGGCACCGCAGGGCCTGGCACTCAGGGTTGGGGTGAGGAAGGCCAGCAGAGCCGGTCGGGTTACCCCCTATTATGGGTTGGCCTGTGTCCCCCCAAATTCACATGTTGAAGTCCTAATCCGTGACCTTCTTTGGAAATATGGTCATTGCAGTCTGGCCGGCGTGGCTCAGTGGTCGAGTATCTACCTGTGAACCAGGAGGTCACGGCTCGAGTCCCGGTCAGGGTACATCCCGGGCCCCATCCCAGGAAGGGTTGTGCAGGAGGCGGCTGACCAGTGATTCCCTCTCATCATGGGTGTTTCTGTCTCCGCACCCGGAGACGGGCCGGGATCTCACGCCCACCCAGGCCCGTCCAGCCCACCCACCCTGCGGTGGGGCCGGGGAGCCCAGCCTGCCCTGTTGGGGACCTGGGGTCGGGGGGCATGGGAGGCAGCACACATGTTGGGGAGCCCCTGTGGCTGCCTGAAGCGGGGGCTGCAGAACCACCTCTGGGGCTGCCCACCTCCTCCTGTACAGCCTCAGAGACCCCTCCTCAGCCACACCCTGAGAGCGGGCTGCACCCCCACCTCCACGAGGCCTCACTGGCCTCTCCCTCCTCAGCCACCCCACCCTGGGTGCCCAGGCACCCCACCCAGGGCTTCCCGGCACCCAGACCTGCCCGCACACTGGGCCACACCCTCCCCCGCCCTGGGATACCCCCTCCCAGCCCGAGCCCCTGCTCCCAGGCCTCTGGGCGGGACGCTGGATGCGGGACACTGGACGCTGGACGAGGGGAGGCTGCAGGCAAGGCCCCAGGTCCTCCAGGGTCATGGTCGGCATCCATGGAGCTTTCATTTGTTCATTCCTGCACCTCCCTGTTGCTCCATCCAACAGCGTGTTTAGCAAAGGAGTGGACACTGCGCCCAGCAGACAGGCCAGGCTGGGTTCCAGACCCTCTAGGAGCCTGCCCTGCAGGGAGGGGTGCCCTGTAGAGAGGGGTGCCCTGCCT